TATAATACAGGTCGCTAATCATTATGGAAAAATACGTCCATTCAATATGTAGATTCTCCATAGATTTGAGTTGATGATTTTTTCCATCGAAGAGAAACTTGGGAACTCTAAATAAAAAGCATGAACCTGATATGCTAATGGAAGTAGAGTTGTTGTATGTGAGCCAGTTAAATGCCATAGCCATACCTTTGCTCGAAAGTCCTCCAATATAGTTTGATTTGTTACTCTTGAGTTGACTAGCTTTCAAAAGTTGTTTGCTGACTAAGTTCACCTATTGAAAATTGAAATCAGAACCGTGTTACGCTGCTTTCCATGATGAAGAATGGGGAGTTCCAGTACATGATGACAAGATGTTAAACACATTTTAATCATGTATAACATACCTTTCCATGTTGAATATTTTGCTTGACATTCTATATCTCATGCAGGAAACTGTTTGAACTTCTTGTACTTTCGAGTGCACTGTCTGAACTCACTTGGCCAGTCATTCTGAGCAAAAGGCACATTTTTAGGTATTGTATTTCCTTGTTAGAAGTCCAACATTGCTTCCTTTTACATCTAGCCTTGATATATAGTGGCTGCCACAAACTTTTTAACCTCAGCTGTAGGAAACTCTTCACTTTGTCCTTTTTATTTTTGCTAACAAGATTTTTTGCAGGGGAAGTATTTGCAGACTTCGATCCATTAGCTGTCTCAAAATTGAATGAAAAGAAAATGAATGCACCAGGAATACTGCAAGTTCCCTTCTTTCAGAACTTAAATTGCGTGCTATAATTGAGAATGCACATCAAACATCAAAGGTAGATTATTATTTCCTCTTGATTTGCGAACCTTTGTCTCAGAATAAGTGTAACTCCTGGGTTTGTTGGCAATTCTTCTTTTTTCCTGGACCATTGGAAAAACTAAAAGAACCATGAGATATCGGTTTATGGTATTTTTGCTGTAATGCCTTGGGAACTGATGTTTGAATGCAATCCCATGCAAATATTGTGATTTAACAGCTGGACTAGGTTGCAAATCACTAATTCTTTATTGCTAAATATGAATATAAAATATGATCCTAGGGTCCTGTATTAATGCCTTTTTAAGTATGGTGGCCTTATTTCTTTATTTATTTTCTGTATTGATCTGCTGTTGTCACTTTTATATGCATGATGTTGTCTCTTAGGATGTTTTTAATTCTCAGCATGATCAAATGAAAGAAGCTTTTTTGGCTAATGATCAAATGAGTGGCTTATAATTGGTGTCCATTTATGATTTAATCTGGTAGATTAGGTAATAAGGTAATGTGAAAGGGGGAACGTGATCCTTTTTAAATTACATGACCCATGTAGGACGAACCATGTTATAATCCTCCGTACATCCTGAGCTTGTAGTAGTCTAGGTTTACAAAGTGATATGCAACCTAATTATTTGGATTCTTTATTCTGCCAGCTTGCTTTGCTGGTGTGACCCGGGTCCTCTATCAGTCATGATACTTTTTCAACTATCAATCCCTACACTGCTTTCTTTTTTCTTTTCTCTTTAATTGAACTGCCATTATTGCATTGTAGCTATTATTGTCTCTTTACCTAACTTTTTGCAGGTTTTACTCATGGCAGGTTGTTGATGAATTTGGGTCATTTGACAAGTATATATGGTTTTGTGAACCACAAGCCTATAGCTAGTATCCGAATCCTCGTATCCTGGACAGGTCCTGTAAAAACTCCAAAGCCGATGTGATTAGTAAAGACCTGGTAAGAAGAGGATTCCGTGGTGTGGGGCCCACCGTCGTGTACTCCTTCATGCAGGTAGCTGGGTTAACAAATGACCATCTCATCAGCTGCTTCAGATTCCACGAATGTATAGCTGCAGCAGAAGGGAAGGAAGAGAATGGCATCATGAACAATGCTCGTGAACAAAAGGAGAGTGATAAAGTGATAGAATCAGATCTGTCCCATTGCCATTGATGATTTGAGTTTCTCCTCAGAATGATGGTTCCACTGTCTTGGCTGACAGAGCCTCCAGGTTCTATCAGCAGTGTCATCCTGTCCACTGATTCAATGCTAGCCCTTAGATTGAGTAATGATGGAGGGTAATTTGTGTATAAATTTCATATTATTCTCCCTGAACTTGATTATGATGATGGATTCTTAGATTGAGATTTTTACTAAAGCTCAAGTGAATGAAATCAACCCTGTACCTGTAATGTTGTATGAAGCTTCTTCAGGCAGCCTTTTAAACTGGTGTTACTATTTTTCTGTACAGTTAAAGCAAGTGATTATAATTTTCTTTCAGAGACGCGGAAGCAGGGATTCAATGAAATTCTGAGTTACACATTCCTCAAGAATCAAGATAGTTGCAAAATTTCTTAGTTATATGCAATGAACTAATAAAAATTCACGAGGAAGAATTGGGACTTCATTATCATTTTAGTGAAGGATCTTTAGCTTACACTATGCAAGTTGGCAAGTGCTTAAGTATTACAATAAATTGAATGAAAATAAGTGCAATATAATATTTACAAGCTAATGAAGATTGATGTAGTCGATAAAGATGAGATTTATATCCCATAAGAGTATAGATTCGAATCTTATCATCGATGGGATAATTTATTGGTAGATGATAAGTGAAAATTTTTACAAATGATTTTTAATTTGTGAGATTTTTCTCTGCTCTAGCCACTTTTTTACAACTCAATTCACCGAAAACTTTTAAATATAAAGAAATATGCAAGAATATTTCTAATAATATTAGTGATTGGTTTCAAGTATGAGGTGAGAGTGTGGCACAAGGTGATTGTGATTTAGGGGTGGGGCAAGAGGGGTTTCCCCATTAAGGACTTTAAATTTTAAAGTGTGCTGGACAGCTAGAGAAAGAGATGGCAATGATAAAAACAGATGGGGTTTGTGTTTTCTTGTCTGAGTACTCCTTGTTGATGGACAAGCGTGCACCATCTTGTTTCTGGATCGCCAACAATTAAGGCATTTCTTGGCCACTATTCAATTGTCCCTCTGACAACGCCCTCTCCACTTTCTTCGTCTGTAATTTTGTGAACGCTGTGGCCATAAGGAAATACTTAAGCCGTCAAAAACATTGAGTGATAGAAACTCGGGTAGTAAAATGCGATGCGATGTAGGAAAAAGTTTAAAGTTCAAATATTCATGATATTGAAAATAAAGAACTTATTTTGTGCTTGTAGAGACAGCTAATGAAGGATTTGCACCCCATAGCCGTAGCCCATATAACTACGTCTAAAACAGAGATGAAGAGAATACATTTTGAAATTGGAATGAAAAACAACAAAATCAAGGGAACGAAACCAAAAATGGAACTCGTGTGGCCCTATTAACAGCGAATCGCTTTTTTGTTTTTTTTTTTACCAACACAGTGAAGATTAGTTTATATTTCCACAATGATAGTTCAAAATCAAAATGCGTTTTCATTAAACTGAAACATGAATGGAAAATCTGGAATCCCTAAAACGGCAACAAAAAATCTAAGGTCAGGCATTGAGTATACAAACATTCGAATACAAAATAAAGGACTGTAGAGTGTAGACCTCGACCAAGACACAGGACAAAAGAACACCGCAAGGGAAGATTCTTCCAACTGCCACCAGTCACCACCATGCGATAAATAATCATTGCAGCTACAAAATCCGAAAATGACATCTGCATGGATTCAACATAGAGGAAGCCACACAATAATAAATAGCATATTATTAGCAGTAATAATTTCTTAATCTTCATGCTCTCTGTTGGCTATGATCACAAGGTTATTAGCCATTAATTTTAATTATAATAACGGCTACAACCAATAACTTGTATTGAGATGATTTTGATGCCGAAAATAGTGCTCAACTTACTATAGAAAACTTAGAGTAGAAGTAATATACAATGGCCTTGACAAGTTAATCCATAACTGGAGCATGCCCCACTGGTGTAGCTTTCTAAGGGCAAGAACAAGGGGAAAAGACTCTAAGCTAACTATCAGCAAGGGTACAGCTAATTAGATTCAGTTAAACAGAACGGTGAATCATAATACAAGTATCCAGCAATATTGTTTCTCGGAAGGGAGTTTTAAAATGCAAAAATAAACCGCTTTAGATACAAGAGGAGCTTACCCAAATCAAATAGACCTTCCGATAAGGAGGCTCAGAACAGGATGGACATTTTTATTGAAAAAGAAATAATTTAAAGTGAAACAAGAAAAATAGAGATAAAAGTAAAAGATATCCTCCAGAAGCAAAAGAACAGGAAAAAACGAAAGAACCAAAGGACAAAAACTTAACACACCAAAATTCAATTCCTATTTTCAATCTCTCCAGCAATTTTGTTAAGTCTGTTGGTGGTATACTAGCATTTTGGCCATTTGGGTATATTATTTGAACATGGGAAAGTGTGAGAAAGCAAAAAAAATTAATAACACGGTTGTTTAAGCCTATTCTTTCAAAATGAAAATGTGGATGGCGATAAAATAACACTAGTCATAAAGCAAAAAACAAAAAAAAAACAAAAAAATTTATCGATATCGCATGCATACCCCAATAGACCTCTGCCTGGCCAAGTTCTAGGTGTGACAATTAAGTTGATCATAGCACCTTGCCTCATGATTGCAACAGGTATTGCATGACCCAGATTTGACTGAGCCTCAGAAGCCAGCCTTTGGAGCAAGTTATCCCCAGCTTCCACGCTGCCAAATTTCAAAATTTGATCTCCAAGTTGTAATCCATCCTCTGCAGCCGGTGATGAATCAGATATCTCATCAACCATCGCAAATGGTATACTAACAACCACATCCACATCCATGGAATTGGAGGAATCTCTCAGAAGAACATTTTGCACTGATGAGCCTGACTCAACAGTTGATGAAGTCTGAGCATTAGGTCCATCTTCATCACCTTGCAGAAAGGAAAACATTTAATATGATTTAGTATATGCCATTCATTATTGTTATTTAGAGACTTGGAATAATTTTAGGTCCAACTTAGGACACGGGAAAGCAAGAAACGTAACACAAAGAACTTCACATTTCAAAACGTTATAATTTTCCAGAAACTTATTTAACTACAAAATGCTAGGAGAAATAGTCATCTTTGCTAACGTTGAGAGATTGCTTAATAAACTTTTGGTATCTTTGAGGCAGCAAAATTGGCCAGCCAGCTTGGAAGTGTTTGTCAATGCATTTTCAAGGCCTTGGTCAATGGAGGTTCAAAAGACCCTTCAACATTTTATCAAAGATTTCTTCCTTATGCCTCTTATGGAATTAGGGCACCACTAGTTGTAGATTGAGATACAGACACAGAAACATGCAGGCCCTGACCTGGTCGTGGTGGTAAAAGTGCAGCTCATGAGTTCTTACAGCATAATCTAAGGAAATATCACCGTAGAGAAACTACTCTAGATGAGTTAAATCAAAGAACAGCTATTTTTCAGTCACAGCAGGAAAAAATTATACACACACACATTATTTTATCGGTGAATTCAAGTCTCTTGTATATCTTTCACCATATCTTCACTCACCAAAGTGAGAAGCATCATATAACCACTGGGAAAAAAGAATACACCTTATGAATCATACTTGTACGTGGGGGAGTACAAAATATATTATCTTCAGGAACAAAGTTCCAGAAGGCAACATCAATAAGAAGCCATAGTTACCTCTCAACAAATGGTATAACAACATTCATTACTTGGTGGAAGCGTACCTGAAACTTTGAGGAGTGACGTTTTATTTCCAAGTCTTGCTGCATGCAAAATTTGTATGTTTTGATTTATTTTCTCACTGATCTCCTTGTGATCATTACGCAGCTCTGCATGGATGAGGAGGGGGAAATAAGGGTTAAAAAAATGGCAGGACAATGAAGTAAAACCAACGCTACTCTAGCTCCTATCTTAAAGCCAATTAATTTATTACATCACGACATTCTGTAGCAAAATTATGCTATTCGATGTGATGACCAACTTTAGGCCCAAATGTCACTCGAGGTAGCCCTTCAATTTGTTGAAATGCCACATGTTTATACAATTATTCATCAAAAACAAATACTGGGAACGGGATTCATACCAGAAAGACGACGTCGCTCGGCACGAACAACTGGAATGTCAATATCCGTTCGAGGAAATCCCTAGAAAATTGATCAACTAATTAACACTCTTACACGGTGAAGATACTTCAAATTCCTAGCAAAGTATACTGAATTGCAATAATTAGTCATCGAACACCAAATAGGAGGCGCGAAAATAAAGTATATAACCAGAATCGAAAGAAAACCTCAGAATCAACGAGATTGCCGGAAAGCCTGGGACCACCAGGTTGATTGAGGCGCTCGATGATTGCGTTCATCTCCACCTCTATCGCAGCACGTTTGTCCATAAGAGACAGCGTCTCCGCCTTCACGTTCGTTGCCACCATTTTCTCGAGAGAGCGTTCAACCGATAAACTTCTTCTTCTTCTTTTGCTCCTTCACCGTCGCAGAGCGTTGAAGTCGATACCACGCTAAACTGGAATTTGTTACAGCCTTACCGCGTTCCGCTACGCTTCGGGGACTTTAGACGCCCCCCCACCCCCAACCCTTTTGTTTCTTTCTTTCTTTCTTTTCTTCTTTTCTTTTCAAAACGTTACATTTATTTGTACATGGCTCCCGTGGAACAATTTATTTATAGAAGCAAGATTTAGAAATTACAATCAATTTTTTGGACTGAATATAATTTAAAATTATGGTATAAAAGTAATACTTTTCTTACTCATAATATATAAACAGTTAACTATTAAATATATAAAATTATAATTATAAAAAGTTAAAATAAAATTGTAAATTACTAATAAATTAGTTTTAACCAATTAATGTTAAATTTTGACAGTGCGTATGATTAATTTAATTATTAGATATTTTAAATTATAGTTTTAAAATAATAAATAATAATTATAAATTATTGATGAAATAATTATAAATAAATAGTGCTAAACTTTGTCACTAATATGTAATCAATTTGACTATTAGATATGTGAAATTATAGTTATAAATTGTTGAAGTGATAATGTAAATAATTAATGAGGTAGTTATGTACAATTAATATTAAATTTGTAATGCATGATTAATTTAACTATTAAATATATGAAGTTAAAATAATAAAAAGTTGGAGTGATATGTTTAAATTACTGATGAAATAATTAAAAATTATTTAATTAATATAATGTATGTTTAATAAGAATACTATTGTCTTTGCACTCTATTATGGACATGGTTTTTTGAATTTTCTAAAATTTATTTGTAAATATATTTTGTGACATCTATATATATTTTTTTTTCTTTTCTTTTCTTTTTTTGAGCAACTTGCTTGACTTTTCATTCGTGTTTTGAAATTTTATAAATTTTATCCTATTCATAATAAGACTTATGAAATTTTAAGAAAAAAGGGAATTGACGTTTACAAGTGATATATGTAATATCATGAGTTTTAAAAACGTTTACAAGTGATATATGTAATATCATGAGTTTTAATCCCTTAATTAATTAAATCTAATTAGGGTAATTAAGTAAATTGAAGTGGTGTGTGGCTAGAGAGATCTAATAATCACATTTGATGCTATTTTAACCCTAGTTGTGAGTCCAGTATGGAGGCGGATCACCTAGGCATCAAAAAGAGAAGAAAAGGAAGAGTTAAAGTTACTGTGCCACACGCCGTGGCGCGTAGATCGTCTGCCACGATGCACAGCCATTTCTGAGCAAGGGAGGACCTCTCTGTGCCATGTGCCATGGCACATAGCCATTTTCTGCACTTTATCAGACGTGAAATGAGATAGAAAAATAAAAAAAAGAAAAGAGAGAAAGGAGAGGCATGCTAATGTTCTGTTAGAGTTTACTTGGGAACTACTTTAAGAGTATTTTAAAGGTTACAAACACCCAAAGTAAGTATTATACTCATCAATCTCTCCTTTTTTTTAACATTTATGAGTTTATGATTAGAGTTTGATAATGAAAGTGGGATTTTAGTCCATATAGGTTATGGGTTCGAATTTGTTGACTTAAATAAAATTAATGGGGGTAGATTAGAGTATCTAAACCTAGGTATAATGAGTTTTAGCGTCTTGGGTTGTTGGGCACCATTAATATCCAAAAATCCCATTTATTATGGGTGGTTGAAAGTTTTGTGATGCCATTAATGAGAATTTAATAGCTCGCTAATACTATTGGGGGCTAAAGGTAACTATTAAACCCAATGGTTAGGTTTTACCTTTTGTAAAGTGAAGATTGGGCAATTTAGAAGTAAAAATTGAAGGTTCAAATGTTTGAGTTTGTTATATTGATGAAATTCAACTTCGTTAATTGTAGTTTTGGCTCTTGGTCACCTATTGAAGTGGAAATTCAAACTTGAAAGCTAATTGATTGAGGAGTAAATCTTTGACCTTTCAAAGGTTTGAGGTAATTTGGGAAAAACTCTACTTTGGGTAATTGTATGTTACTTGATTGTTAAATGTGAATGGTGAATGTTACATGCATGAGATTGATTTTTATGTAAAACTATATATTATTTTTCAATGAATGTATGAAAATTTGATTGAGCATAATGCTATTTTGACTTGAAATGCAAAATGCAAAGTTAAAAGGATTTTACTGTGAAAATGCTTATGTTTTGAAAAATGAATGCGATGATGAGTAGAGATATTTATGTGTTAGTAAGGAAATGAATTTTGAGAAATGATGAGAATGCACATTTAGGTAGCGCAAGGTCGTGAACCCAACATGGTGGTCGTAACAGTAAGTAAATGAAAGCGAAAAAAGTAAACTCAAGTGAGTAATGATTATGGCATGATCAGTGGCGGGAGTTCGCTTGGGGATTGGGAGTAGAGAAAAAAATTTATATGATAATTAGGCTACCCTTCGGTGCACGAGGGCTATAGCCTTATCCCACTATTTGTCGAGGGACTAGAACCTAGCTATCTCCACCAATTTAATGAGGAGAATAGCCTAGGGTATGAGACACCCCAGGGATTCAAGAATGGGAAAAACCGTGGTTCGAAAGTGAGTCTTGTGATTTTGGCTGGGTCACACTTTATGATTTGTGAGTTTGGGTAATCCAGTTACACTGATAGAGCCTTAATCAATTTTATAGCTCACGGTTTCAATCTGAGAAAATAAAGAGGATATAAGGTTGGTTGATCATTACTTGAGTAAATATATGACGTGTCACACATGCTAAGTGATGGCAGATCACGAGAATAGAGGTCATGTCACATATATGAACATATGGTGATAATGTACCTAGTTACGTGAGTTAAAAAAGCTATATAATGATAAATGGTAAATTATAATACATGTGAGTTTGATTGCATATTTACTCTCCTTGTGCATGTATTTGTTTTATAATTGATATATAATGGGTAGGATTAATCTTAGTTATTGAGTGGCTAGACTCACCTCTCTTATTTAATACTTTTCAGGCTCTATCTCTGGTGTTGAGAGGGAGAAGACTAAAGAGGCGAGAAATTAGCATATTTCTACTTTATGCCTCTAGTTTAACTTTAACTGTGTAATAGTATATGGCTTATCAATTCTAGAATGCATATTACTTTACTTGCACTATTTTGGTTGTTGAAAATGTTATAAGTGCATTTTGAGCCATTAACCTTTATGTATGTTGACATATATATGTTTATAGGGTCAAAATACTAGTACAAGTGTAGAAATGAAGATTTGAACATGTTTGAATGATTTGAGTTAAATGCACTGGCAAATTACCTCCCCCTTTATTTTTGGTAAATTGGGGTTGAGGAGTGAATTTTAGTTATATTGATGTTTCGATGCTTATGACGTGTTGTACTGGTAATCCTAAATCTATTGGACATGGTCTAAGTGTTAGGAAAAGTTTTTGGCACTTGTTAATGGTTTTGGACACCCATTTTATACAAATGTTGAAAAGTCGTCAAATTATGTTTGGGTGTTCAACTTTCTAGTGTGACTTATTTTGAAAGTGAAATCCATATCATTAATTAGTTCATGTAAAGAGCTCTCTATAGACACCTAGATTACGGACGTCAGATGGAGAATTGAGGTGAGTTAAAAGTTCCCCCGATTCTGCTGTCAAATGACAATAGAACCAATGAAAATTCATGCAACACGCCACGACGCATGGCGCTTGAGCTGCGGCGCTGCATCGCATGACATAGAGAACAACACGCCGCAGTGCAGAGTGCGTCCGCTGCGGTGTATTGCTCTATATTTCAGTATATAATTTATTTTCAAACGTTTTCAACTTCTTTCACTCCTTTGAGGCATCCTATGCTTCCGAAACTTATTTTTACCTTGATATAAAATATTTTGATCAATTTTAACTTATTTCTATTTAGAAAACTTGAAATCCCTTACTTTTGAATCAAACCTTTGTAATTACTTTTTGAGCTAATTCTCTGATTACCATGTGTTTCATTAATTAATTGTGTTTAGTGCAGTGAGAACGTTATAATATAAATTTAAAATTAATTTATATAAAAATTTCCTGAATTTTTTAGTTTTACATTGTTAAATTTATATAGATATATTAATTTACACCCAATGTATTGATTTGGAAAAGAAATTTCAGGCCTATTTGGTAGCCTGTTTTGGAAACAGTTTTCTGTTCTTTATAACAAAAGAATAAAAAAATTTGTTTGATAATGCATTTTTTAAAATTGTTTTGGATAATAAAAGAATAAAATATTATTCTGTAGACTAGAAAAATAGAAATAACTTTCAGATATTTTGGGATTATTGTTATGAAAAACGAGAAAAAAATGAGAAAAACATATATTTTCATTATTTTTTTATTTCAAAATATGTTTTTACAAAACATCAATTTTAAAATAATAAAATAAAAATAGTTTCAAACAGTTCTTTCATAGTTGGAAATATAACCCTATGTGCAGGATGGGTGGTCCTTTAGGTAATACTAAATTTTCAATGAAAATATCAATATTATAAATACAAATTGAAATTAAAAAAAAAATCTCTCAAGTAGAATAACCCTTCACAATCACAACGATAAATCTCATTCTACTTGTGAAGTTTTTCAATATGACATTGAATGTGATTTTTTAAGTTTTGAATTTTATACATACGAATTCTCTAATATTAATAGTTTGATTGGTTTATTTTTTTAAGAATAGTTTTTTGTTTTCAAAAATAAAAGAATTAAAAAACTTGTTTGTAAAAGTATTTTGAATCTAATTATTTGTAAAATTGTTCTCATTTTTTATTTTTAAGGAAAAAAATCTTAAAGCTATTTTCATTTCATTTTTTCTAGAATACATTACATTTGATTATTAAAAACTACATTGATTGTAACTACTAATAATTATTATAAGTCATCACCATTAATTGTCAATGACTATTACTATTTGGCCAAAAAAAATTGACTATTACTATTGACCAATTTTTTAATTTTAAAACTATTTTTAAATTGACACATCCAAACAAATTTTCCTTTTATTTTGTTTTAAAAAATAATTCTAAAATTTGCATTGCAAAACCGTTTTTGGAAACAAAATATAGAATAGGAACTTCATATGCCCTAAGTTATTCATAAATAACCATGTTTCTGTCTTAAATAATA